CAAGCGAGCCACACCAATATGTGATCAGTTTGCCTTCCTAGACCCTTTCCCATGTGCCCACCCAAATTAGAAAAAAAATTTACCAAACAAATATTTTTGTTATCATTTGTTGTAATTTCTTTTGTTCTTGTATTTTAAACTAGTGGAGCAATTTGATGGTTAAAATTTCTCTTTGAGTGAAAGTTTTAGAATGAGTGCAATTCAGAAGGTTGAGGGTGAGGGGAGGGGGTTATGTGAGTGTCAGATTTAGAAAGAATCTCACTCACCCACTAGATAAACAACGGTTGTTATCAAAAGTATTGGGTTATTACTCATGGGCAAAGGATTTGCTACGAAGCATGTTAAATCTTTACGTTTGCGATTCTTTTCTGTCACTGTATACAAATATATAATTTTACTTAATAAAATTATTTTTCCTATTTCTTATGATGGTTAGATCGTTTGTTTGTTAATTACATGTAAATTTTAAGTGTTAAATAATACTTAGAAAACTCTTAGAAAACAGAGCACCAGTGGTGCTCTATTTATATAGATCCTTTACAGCTAAGTAGAGCCCCAACAGTGCTAAGGATAGTCATAAGAGCTTTTCTAAGGCTTGGGAAATGAGCAGAGGGAGAAAGAGAGAGTCGGAGAGAGGGGGAATGTTGTTGGTTTCGGGTGTAGACTCAAATCTTAGAACAAGCATGCAAAACAAATATTTCTCGAAGTTAAGAAATCAGGCAAACTTGGAAGTTCAGGCATGCAAAACAAATATTTCTCGAAGTTAAGAAATCAGGCAAACTTGGAAGTTCAGGCAAAGTTGATAGTTCAGGCGAACTTGGAAGTTCAGGCTAAGCTCAAAGCTGAGTTCAGGCGAACCTGCAGTTCAGGCGAGCTTTGGAAGTTTAGTCAAACTTGGAAGATCATGCGAGCTTTGGAGGTTCAGGCAAACTCCAAGTGCAGGCAAGCTCCAAGTACATGCTAGCTCCAAGTGTAGGCGAAGCAGTTCAGGCGAGCTTGACTATGTTCAGGCGAACATAAGTCATACAGGTGAGCTTCGCAGTCAGACAAACTTCGTAGTCAGGCGAACTCGCAGAAAACAGATTCCTAATCTACTTTGACCTAGGGTTTCCCTATAAATAAGGAACATTTCCCTATAAATAGGGAACCCTAGTCGCCACTTAAACGTGAGTTTTCCTGAGCAATTCCTGTAGCGATTTTGGCGGTGATTTTGTAGCGTTTTGAGCGGCGATTTTTCAGAGAAAAATCTCACGCCTTGAGAAATAAAAAGAGAGTTCTTTTTTGAGTGATCTCAAGGAGTTTGAGATCATCTCTTGTAAGCTTTGTAATCTTCTTTAATATTTAAAGAAAATTATTGTGTGACTCCCGAGGATGTAGGCAAGTTGTCGAACATCGTTAAAATTTTGGTGTTCTCTCTTCTATTTTTTCTTTGCATAGTTTTCTTTTATTTGTTGTGATTTCTTCTTGTCTTCTTTCAACACAAGATCTAGAGGACATGTTCTGCGAGAAGGTTCATTTGACAGGTTGTCGATAGGACGAATCCCAAACAACTGTCTGAGGCAGGGTGAGTAAAGGTTTAAAGAGGGAGTTGGGTGTAGGAATTTAAGGGATTCATGTTAGAGAAGAGAGAGCAGAGTGTATTTTGCTCCTAGAGGGATCAAATTGCAAGATCCTATTGGATTTGAGGGACTTATGAGTAATTTCAAAGATTTGACAAACTAATATGGAATCATTGAAGAATCGAGGGACTAATATTTTAAATAACCCAGATTTATAATTGTTGTCGGTTTGTCTCATGTTCATACATTAGAAAGAAAATGTTGAATAAAAAAGAGGTTTAAGACCATGTTGGATGTTCTAAACAAAATGTTCGGCTCTTCTTTTCTCTGTGATGATGTTACGTTGACATTTTGTGATTGTGGATGCTTTGTGCATATACTTGTGTTATATTTTGTACTGGATTATGGATGAAAGACTAGGAGGGTGTTTGGGAAGACTTATTTTTTAAAGCTTATGCGTTATGTTGGTTTTTAGCTTTTATGATAAAAATCTTGTAAAAATTATTTTTGTAGAAATGTAATTTATTCGGTCAAAGCTAACTTATAAGTGTGAGCTTATAAGCTAGTTTTTTAAACGCTGGGGTACACCAGCTTTTGAGAATGTCACTTATAAACTAACTCATTTATTGCTTTACCAAACAGGTAGAAAAGAAAAGGCTAGTTTAAAAGCTAGTTTAATCAAAAAATAAGTCTCCACAAACACCCTCTAAGTATTAGTTAGTTGAGATCCCATGAAAGATTTATATTCATCGCTAGCTTCTTCCATAGTGATAAAAAACGCTAATAATCATCATTACTTTTCTTATAAATAAAAGGGTCATATGTTAATCTATCTAAAGCACGTAGATTAAACAAATCCTCCATGCACATTATTCAATTAACTCTTTTAAACCTTTAGGAGAAGCCCTTCTACGTCTTTCATAATTATAAATATAGGCCAGAGTTAGACTACAACAGTGTCGTTCGTAATAATTCTTTATCAAAAAGCAATACCAAACGCAATAAAATTAGTGAAACGGTTTAAGTGACTTTTCCTGACTAGGAAAATCTGAATCAATTCTAGCTCAGTTTTTTCCTATCAGATTTTATCTTAAAAATAGGACTAGATTTAAACTTAATCTCATTCTTTAGGTTGCCAAACGCACCCTAATAAGAATCTTGTTTCCTCCAACGCAAACAATCACTAGATATTTAGTTTGTTTGATTCGATGCAGCCGTAACTGCAGTGTAACAGCAAATTGAAGCATCATTCTCGATGCACAGACAAGATTAATGTCACATGTTTCTCTCTCTCTCTCTCTCCTCTCCTCTCTCTCATGTGGCTTCACAGCCTTCACCCTGCTATGAATTCATAGCCACTCTTTTTATCTTCTCTCCTGTAAACCAAATATTGTCCTTCTCAAACACGAAAAAGGACCACCACCTGAATTTATAATGCATAGAAACTGGTAGAAATTTTAGTAAATAGAAAGGAACTAATCGGCCAAATTACTAAAAGTATTGCGTTTGCTTGTTTGCTCTTTTTTTTTTTTTTTTTACTTATTCAATGGATGTAGTGGTCATTTTGATAAATTAACATAACCCTGCGATAACTTTCGAGTTGGCAAGCACTACACTCCAAGAAATGTTTACGAATAACAAAAAAGAAAATGAACAATGACGTCATTCACACTATTGAAAAGATCCAAGTTTTCAATTTCGAGTCATGCATTTTCTTTCTTCTTCTTCACCTCGTGTAATTCATTCTTTTTTTTTTTAGTGGGCTAGGAGTCGTCGTTGGCCTTGTGGGCTCTAATATGTGTCACTTAGAGCTACTTCAACACATTTCATGGGCTCATGTGTAAGACCTGAGAATGGGCCATACGCGAATTAACTTTACAATCACAAAAATAAAACTGTTTTGAGCGACATTATTAATACTCAGATGATGAATGAATGAAATATAAACAATATCACCATTTCATCTTGAAACCCTTAACGGAATAAATAAAATCAACATTACAGTAAACGCATGGAAGTAATAAAAAGTAAAAACAGCAATATAATACAATTAGCATGATTCAACTGGTTTATAAGAGATTAACGTTATAATAAATAACCCACAATGCTTAGCATAATTTCGAAGTGCTGCAGGAGAGAGCCCCTGCATCTTTTGTTATCTCCGGCACATCATTTCCACTTCCAACGTCGAACCTCTGCTTTTGACCGTACGGAGGCTTTGTGTTTTCGTCGGTTGCCTGAAGGGAGAAGACGGCTCCATTTGCAAATACATCTCCGACGGATTTCACATGCCAGTTATGGCCTGATTCTCTCCACGCGACCTACATTTTGGACAGGTGATGGTTTAAGAGAAAAAGAACCCTAGATCTATTAATTTCTACTTTGTCTCGATCAGGCCCGGCTCTGGGGCAGTGCGAACTGAGCGACCGCACAGGGCCCCCAATTTTTGGGGGCCCCAAATTTTTTTATAGGTCAGGTCATTTCACTCCTCAAATCCCGCATCTAGCTCTCCTCGTGCTTCCCCCATTGCTTCCCTCAAATCCCACGCTCGGCTCATCCTCTCTCCTCTCATTCTCTCTATCCTCATCAAAAGAAAACTCATCTCGAGGCCAGGTCCCCTCCTCCTCTTCCCCCACACTCCTCCCAACTCACCTCTAGCTCAGCCCCAAGCCTCCTCCGCTCAACGCCGGCGACACACTGCCTCGTCCGACTGTCTCGACTTCGCAAGCCCACACAACCCTACCTCACCGGCCCTTCGACCCCTTCCCCTTAGCGCCGATCTCAGCCCCCATCACCCAACTCCACACGCCGCACCCAGTCATCCGCCTCCGCCCATCGCCTCCATCTCCTCTCCCATCGCCGGCCCAGACCCGCCAAGCCGCCATCACCACCAGCCCGAACTCCTCCGAGTCTCCCCTTGTACGCTTCACCCATGTTGCTCTCTATCATTATTTCTACCTTTTCTCATTCGTCGCCTTCTTCGCTACTTCCAGCAAATTCAGCCAAAGTTTTCACTTTTCCTTCCTTTATCAGCTCTCCTCGCTTCCCTGTGGCCGCTGAAAACCTTCACAACTTTCAAGGAGCTTTCTCTTCCTAATCCATGGAGGTCAGCACTTCTGATACTTCCCTTAATTACTTTGTTAATTTCTGATGTGGGTTTTTTGTAATTTTATTGATAATGTATCATTATAGATGAGAATGCTGCTCTTTTTGGGGAAATTTGTGTCTTATTCTAGTTTGGAGTGTTCTTCATGTGGGTTTGCATTTTGGAGGATTAATTTGGTCTCATATGTCCCAATTGAGTAAATAATGGTTCTTTCCATAGAAATTGGTGATGTTTTTGAAAAAAAAGGATTTCTCAAGGTTCATGACAATTGGATTTTGGGGTTTGAGTTTCCTTTTGTAATAAATTTACCTCATCGATATGGAGTGGAGATTTAATTTGCTAGCGAAGTAAGTAAAATATGCTTGATTTGGCAAAGGCAGGACATTTTTAAGGTAGGAAGAAAAATGATGTATGATAATATTTGAATTTTAGCTTATTTCAGGTGTACTGAGAGTTATGTTGGAAACGACTTAGGTCTCACTTAGGTGTTCATTGTTGGTCTCATGATATACCCTTTTAATAAAGAAATTAGATGTTTATATGATGAATGTACTTTGTGTTGAAATTTATTTATCGCCTTAAGGCACTCTTAAAAGTAATTAGCTATTCATACCTAGTTGTAATAAACAATTTTTATATTTTATATTTCTATTCTAGCTAGTTAATAATGAAGTTTGCTATTCGTGTAAGCTGGTTGTGGGTTCTTGTGCTTTTTCGTGCTAGATTTTGCTTGTTAGATGAGAATGGTACTATCTTGCAAATGTTAGGTGGGATTACATGCATTTATCTGAATCTCTGATCAATAACATTTTATTCAGGTGACCGAAGAGATGATGAGCAAATAACACATGAAAAGTATGTTAAAGACTATCCAGATGAAAAAAATAGGTAACATTTTAATGTCTGATCAGTAACATTTTGTTCCCTAGCATTTTAGGGATTCAAATTTAAATTAATTGATATTTTGTATATAGAGAATGTCATGTGTTTACTTTTCGCACAGGGCCCCTAAAATCTCAGAACCGGCCCTGGTCTCGATGCAAAAATAAATAAGTTTTTTAATATTATGAGTTATCCAGTACACCCTTCCATTGAATATTCTTTTATGAGAAAACAACTTTTAACTAATTAAGAACTTACATTTTCATCCTAACCTTCACAGAATGTAATAAAGTAAGTCTATGTATTTTTTTATGTTCATTAGAGTTTTTTTTTTTTTAACTATGCACGTTTACTATTGTTTTAAGGGTAAATTTCACATAGTACCCCTCTCCTTTTAAATTTTAATTTTTTCCCCCTCCTCCTCCTCGCATGACCGCGCGCCTAATAAATTAAACACGACCAGTACTTACTTTTTTATGATCCGGGCGGTCGGTGGCAATATACAAATTGCCTTCGCTCATGATGGTAGGATTGGCACCCCCACCAATGGCGTACTCGTACCACCCATCATGGTAATTGTTGGCGACGTGGACCCGGCCGTGTCGGATCCTCGGCATACGCTGCCTGCAGTCAGGCCCGAAATGGTTGTAAGCGACCGTGACCCTCATCTCCTTGTCCTGAACGAAGGAGTCATCGTGGCCGAGGAGCATGACCTTGTCGTGCTCCTTGAACAGGTTGTTGGAGACGGTCACCCTCCTCGACCCGTGCGTTACGTCCACGAGCCCGTCCTTCCCCCTGTACAGCGTGTTGTGGTCGACCCACACTTTCGTGGATGTCTTGATGCTGATGGCGTCGAGATCCTGCCTGCTGATGGAGACGACGCGGCCGGCCGGCATCATCACTTTGCCCGACGACGTCGACTGTATGTCGTGGATGTGCAGCCCGTGGATTATTACGTTGCTCCCCTGGTAAAAATGCAGGTATCAATTGCAAGGTTCAAATTAATAGATATTAGTACCTACTGCGTGTAATTAATCCTTATATCGGAACAGGTGACGTGCGACGTACTAGCGGCTATGAGCCACAAAATATATAGGAGCTAAATTCCCATTTTAATTATCTCCCATTTTTTCCCATTAAAGCTAGGGCTCGGAACTGGACACATGCATGCGATTGGTTCTGACAGGAGTCGTGCTCTACTCTACTGTAAGATGATAATTTACCCTCATAATTTTCAGTTTCTGGTTAAACAAAACATTAGATTTTGGGCTAATTTATTATCCATTTTAAATATAATATAATTCATGCATCTGTTTATATGAGATGGCATATATATAGTAATCAAATCCTATGATATTAGCTTTAACATTCAAGCTAATTACGTAGAAATAATGAGAAGAGAGGTGGGTAATTAAATTGTGACCTTAACGGCTTAACCCTGGGGTGGTGATTCTGTGTCAATTATACAAACTTTAGAGGGTTTTCATTAATTCATCAAAGAACTAATTAAGTTTTCGTCGTTTTTTTCCTTTAATTCCAAAAATATGTGGATCATTCCAAAGTGCTATGTTTGTGAAGGAGTCC